TCACTGTCATCACTGTCACCCTCACAGGCACATGATAAGTCACATTTGTGTGCTCCTATGAGCCACTGCGCCCATGTAGCCTCCTCTACAACTATTCAAGAAGAAGGCTCTTTGCACTTAGAGCTTCTGAGAGCCTGAGGCTTCCCCTGCTTGCCTGCCCCCTGAAACTGTCCAGCCCCTGCCTTCATCTTTCTCCAGGTTCTAGGCAGATCTGCTCCAGAGGTGGTGTGCTCTTGCCCAGCATCAGGTACCAGCTTTTACTCTCATCATATCCTCATAGCTGAGGCCCACTGACCACCATTCTACAGACCCAGTTCTGTTCCAGTTCTGGACAAATCAGGAAGTTTGAAAGAAACCCAGTTGCACTCTCTAAAGCACATCACACAATACCACGCTTCTTCAACTTAACGATCTGTTTCCTTCACCTTAACGATCTGTTTCCTTCGCTGGAATTTATCCTTGGCCCAATATCCCCAGTCCCTAACTGACTATCTGCATTGGGTGAGTACATCAACAAACCTTTGGTTGCAAGTAACAGGAAACCTCACTCAAATTAACTTTTAAAAATAAAAGGAATTTATCAGCTGATGGACATTAAAAATTTTAGAAGTATTTCAGGCTTCAGGCAAAGCTAGACCCAGTAGCTCAGTGACATTACAAAGATCTGGTTTCTTTCCCTCTGTTAGCTCTGTCATCTACAATGTTGCCTTCATCCCAAAGCTGCTACCCTAGTATTCCCAAGATAGACTCAAGTAGCTCCATAGGCTATATGTTTCTACTTTTATGACCACCAGGGAAGAGCAGCTCTTTGTCACAGAATTCTTAGCATAATTCTAGCAAATTAATTCTGATTGGACCAGCTTAGGACCAAAGCTCATGCTTGGTTGTAAGAGACCCATGGTGGGGTCAATCCCATGCAAAGCACATGTCTGAAAATTTGGAATCCTATTAACATTGAGGAAGGGGGAAGGTTGCTGGCCAGCAGTCAAATGATGTCCATTACTGGATATTTTAAAGAGTGGTGCTCAAATTGCAACTGGAGGTGAGCCCAAGCTTTGCCTATATTCTCAGAGACATCCTGCCCTTTCTTTTCACTTAAAGTCTCTTTTGGAGTTGGGAGCCAATTAGTTGAAATTCTTTATCTTCAGTCTGAGTAAAGAGCATTTTGAGTTTCTTTTTATTCCTCTTGTTATTTCTCTGTAAGTTTGAAATCATTTCCAAATAAAACTTTAAAAATATCTATAGTGAATGACCCATGCTTTGCCCCCATAGGTTAAGTTCATATAATCTTGATATTTGCTTTATTTTTGCTGAGGGAATAATAGAAAAGGAGGGAGTATTCAGCAAAGCTGTTCAGAATGTTGGGAGCACTGGGAAGACTCTTCTAAGCTTCGGTTGGCTGGCTGTGCATAAAGGAACAAAAAAAATCAAAGCCTTCCAAACAAATAAGATATGGGACCTCAAAAATAAACACCTCCAAAGTGGAGCCAAAAGTTACTTTACCAGGGCCACATCTCCTGCCTCAGTTACCCCACTGCTTAATATGGGATTGATGAGAAGGAGCTGGCTTGTTTTCCCCCTTTCCCAGTGAAAGTGTTTGTAGCAGATATACTGTGCTTGCCTCATCACTTAGGTTGAAGGAGGAGGCATATAACTTTCCTGTTTAGTGCCCCAGTTCTTTGATTAAGAGGAGTGACACCCCGGGAACTGTACCAAGATCCTGCCGCTGAAGAGCCTCACCCACAACTGAACCTGATTTAGACGACGTGATTCTAGACATTGAGCTTGCACCTGACCACATAATAGAGGAGATTTAGGGAAAGTACTAGTAGGAGTTAATACATTTTGCATATGGGAAAAACAAATCATTTCTGATTAGGGAGTAGACCACGGTGGTTTTCAAAGATGACTCCAAAATTCTTTGACATTCCTCCCATCAAGAGCTTGGGTCTATGCCTATTCTTGGATCAAAGCCAAACTGAACAACTGGTTGACCAACAGAGTATGGAAAGATTGACACTGTTTGATTTTTAAAGCTAGATGAGAGGCGTGCAGCTTCTGCCTGCTTCTCTTGAGATGTGCACTTCTGGAACCCAGACGTGAGGGAGGCTGACCAGCTGTGACAAGGTCAGGTGGAAAGATTCAGCCCTTAGTCCCAGCTGAGCTCCCAGCTGACCAGCAGCACCAACTTGCCAGGATGTGAGTCAGCAATCTCAGGGTTGAAGTCAGCAGCCAAGTATCCCAGACGATGCTGCGTGGAGCCGAGACCAGTCTTCCCCACAAACCCTGCCCAAACTGTGGATTAGTGACCTAAATAGATGATTGTTTCTTATCAAACCACTAACTTTTCAAGTGGCTTATTATGTAGCGAGAGTAACTGGAACACCATGCAAATGGATGCAAAGGCACTTCAAAAAGCATAATTTTGATATCAAAGTATTAAGAGATACCCTTGGGAAATTTTTTTTAATCCATGAATATTTGTTCAAAAATGAGCCTCTTGATAAATGTACTGCAAAAGTCAAGTAAAAAATAAAAAAGGTTGTAATGAGCTGTCCAATTTTACTGAAAATAAATAAATAAACACCCTTAAATTCAACACCTGATTCAATTCTTATTTGTCCTTAAAACCAACATATCATTTTCATTATGACCTCTGATTTGTTAAATATAGGCTATCATTCATTTTATTTCATTTTTAAACCCTTGACAAAGTCCAAATCAAATCTATTAGCCTGCATTTACTACTAAGTGGTAGCCCCTACTTGAAGTGGTTCATGTTGAGTGGGGTATTTTTTCTGGCCCCCAATTAATCTTGATAAATCAAGATCCTCTTTAATTACCGTGAACATACATGTAATTGTTGTGTTCCTTGGCTACCAGACTTGCTTTTTCCTTAGCACCATCAGAAGAGGATATTCCCTTATCTTTCAGGATATCCTCCCGCTGCCAGCCTGCCCATCCTTCAGTATAAGCCACAGGCCTTCCTTGCACCCACTGCCGAAGGGCATCAGGGACAGCTGTGTCTTTCCACAACCCCACCGTGACTTACGGTAGCTCATATCCCACCTCCCATTCTGCGTTTCCATTTGTCTCTGCCTCCTTAGTTCTTCGTCTTTCTTTACCCTCTTCTCTGTGCTCGCCTCTGCTTTCCTCTTCATTCCAGGTGTCTGTTCAGATGATACCAGCCTCTTCCAGGAAATAACCCAGACCAGTTCCATCCAGTCCTCAACACCAGTTCACAACAATTACATTTCTGTCGGATTGGCCCCATTTATCACCAAGAGAAAGAGGTAGCAGTTAACCATGTGTTCGTTCTCAAGGAAAACTGAGATTGACAAGCTACACTGCCTTGGGGCAAGAGGTCTGTGAATGGGACTTCACATCAGGAAATTCCAAATCCAATCTTTTTTCAAAAATCTTTGGGGACTCAGAACCAACTAGATAGTGGTTAGAATTCATTATGTTGAAAGTATCAGAACATCTAACTTAAACTGGTTTAAACAATACAAGAAATTTGTTGCCTCACATACAAGAATCCAATTTCAGTCCATCTCTCCTCTCTGCCTACTACAATAATATCTTCATTTTAAAGCTAGCTAATCCCTTGTCAGAGGACATCTGTCAGTATCTCCAAAGATTACTAAAGTTCACTTGCCAACCACTCTATATAAAGTCTGAGAAATGAGACTTTATCATTACATTAATTCAGCTCCATCAGAGAGATCCTTCCCCCAACATTCTTCCTGCCCCTGGTCCCCAGTACACACATGCACACACATTCACAGAGAGAGAGAGAGAGAGAGAGAGAGAGAAAGCATAAAAGGATGCAAAGGGGAAAAATAAACACTTGTATCACCTCTCAGATAATCCTGGAGATGTCAGTATATGCTTTTTCAGCTTCTTAAAATATATGTTGTTGTTGCTGTCGTTTAGTCACTAAGGCATGTTTATGTTCAGTAGCATGTTACCTGCTACTCTGTGGGACCTCGTGGGCTGCAGCACACCAGGCCTCCCTGTCCTTCACCATCACCTAATTTGCTCAAACTCATGTCCATTGAGTCAGTGATGCCATCCAACCATCCCATCCTCTGTCATCCCCTTCTCCTGCCTTCAATCTTTCCCAGCATCAAGTGCTTTTCCAATGACTCAGCTCTTCGCATCAGGTGGCCAAAGTATTGGAGTTTCAGCTTCAGCATCAGTCTTTCCAAAGAATAGTCAGGACTAATTTCCTTCAGGATTGACTGGTTTGATCTCCTTGCAGTCCAAGGGACTCTTAAGGGTCTTCTCCAACACCACAATTCCAAAGCATCAGTTCTTGGCATTCAGCCTTCTTTATGGTCCAACTCTCACATCCATACATGACTACTGGAAAAACCATAGCTTTGACTATATGGACCTTTGTTGGCAAAGTGATACCTTTGCTTTTTAATGTGCTGTCTAGGTTTGTCATAGCTTTCCTTCCAAGGAGAAAGCGCCTTTTAATTTCATGGCAACAGTCACCATCTGCAGGTTATATATGTGTATATGTATACATACATATATACATTTGTACACAATAAAAATGTTATACATACTTCATACTTTACAAAATGATTACTATATACACTCATTTTGAACTTTTCCCTATGTTAATATTCTTTTACAATATAATTTCCAATAGTACCATCTAATTCTGTCCCTGAATCAATACATCTTTACAGGCTTTCTAATCACCAGTGTTTTTATTTAGAATCTCTAGCTAATGCTTCAGTTTGCTATTGTCAAAAATCTTTATGAAATTATTGTTAATTTCATGAGCCATGATAATGGCATTATGGTTATTTGTAAAAAAGGAAGAAAAAGTTCTTATTGATAAGAGGCGCAAACTAAGTCAAATGGTAAGATTCTAGGACTTGCTTTAAAATACTCCAGGAAGGCACTAGGGGTGCGGCGAGGGAATCTGCGGAGGAGTAGACTTGGTGGCGTCCTGTGCTCGCTGAGACGGCACCTCGAGAACTATGGCGGAAGGAAATAATCGCAGCACCAATCTGCTGGCTGCAGAGACTGCAAGTCTGGAAGAGCAGCTGCAAAGATGGGGAGAAGTGATGCTGATGGCAGATAAAGTCCTCCGATGGGAAAGAGCCTGGTTTCCACCTGCCATCATGGGTGCGGTTTCTTTGGTGTTTCTGACTATCTACTATCTAGATCCATCTGTTCTAGCTGGTGTTTCCTGTTTTGTTATGCTTTTGTGCTTGGCTGACTACCTTGTTCCCATTCTAGCACCTAGAATTTTTGGCTCCAATAAATGGACCACTGAGCAACAGCAAAGATTCCATGAAATTTGCAGCAATCTAGTAAAAACGCGACGCAGAGCTGTGGGCTGGTGGAAACGCCTCTGTACACTAAAGGAAGAAAAGCCTAAAATGCACTTCATGACCATGATCGTTTCTCCTGCTGCGGTTGCCTGGGTCGGACAGCAGGTCCACAACCTCCTTCTCACCTACCTGATATGACTTTCTTACTTTTGCTTCCTGCACTGAACCAACATGGAATCATTTCGAAATACATCAGAATGGCTAAAAGAGAGATAAACAAGCTTCTGAAACAAAAAGAAAAGAAAAATGAATAAAGCATTTGCTTTATTCAGTGTGATTAATGGAGTGTACGTTGTCCGTGGGAACAGTGTCTGCTATGCTGTTGGGATACTAAAATGTTACAGAAGTAGCTCTCTGCTGTCCCTTGCTCTGCCCTTAGTAGAAATTCTGACTTGTCAAGTAAGGCTTTATGCTCAGTGTCTTCATGGGTGTGTTCTTATCAGCTGGCCTTATATGGACATCTCTTCAGTTCCTCATCTTCGTTTTTTGTCACCCAGGGTTAACTGAACTCTTACTTTTAAAATAACATAGTGGTGAACTTCAGCCTTTAGTACAGTTAACAGTGACTTGGGATAACTGTTCAAGTTGATCTTTTTTTTTAAGCTGGATAGAGGATAGTGGCCTGTGGTTTCAGGAAGCTCGTTCTATCATCTGCTTCCATGGTCTGCTTAAAAAACTGGCTTCATGAATATAGAGACCAAGTTTACCACTTCTGATGAAGAGACCAATGAAGAGTCATTCCTCATTCTGTTTCGATAGTGTGGGAGAAGCCTCATGGAATAAGATGAAACTCATTCCATGTCTTAGCGTGTGTTTTCTCCCTTGTGCAGAATTTAGCTGTAAGAAATGGACAAGTTCTTAGAGAAGTATAACTTTCCAAAACTGAACCAGGAAGAAATAGAAGATCTTAACAAACCCATCACAAGCAAGGAAATCGAAACTGTAATCAGAAATCTTCCAGCAAACAAAAGCCCAGGACCAGATGGCTTCACAGCTGAATTCTACCAAAAATTTAGAGAAGAGCTAACACCTATCTTACTCAAACTCTTCCAGAAAATTGCAGAAGAAGGTAAACTTCCAAACTCATTCTATGAGGCCACCATCACCCTATTCCAAAACCAGACAAAGATGCCACAAAAAAAGAAAACTACAGGCCAATATCACTGATGAACATAGATGCAAAAATACTTAACAAAATTCTAGCAAACAGAATCCAACAACATATTAAAAAAATCATACACCATGACCAAGTGGGCTTTATCCCAGGAATGCAAGGATTCTTTAATATCCGCAAATCAATCAATGTAATACACCACATTAACAAATTGAAAGATAAAAACCATATGATTATGTCAATAGATGCAGAAAAAGCCTTTGACAAAATTCAACATCCATTTATGATTAAAACTCTCCAGAAAGCAGGAATAGAAGGAACATACCTCAACATAATAAAAGCTATATATGACAAACCCACAGCAAGCATCACCCTCAATGGTGAAAAATTGAAAGCATTTCCCCTGAAATCAGGAACAAGACAAGGGTGCCCACTCTCACCACTACTATTCAACATAGTTTTGGAAGTGTTGGCCACAGCAATCAGGGCAGAAAAAGAAGTAAAAGGAATCCAGATAGGAAAAGAAGATGTGAAACTCTCTCTGTTTGCAGATGACATGATCCTCTACATAGAAAACCCTAAAGACTCTACCAGAAAATTACTAGAGCTAATCAGCAAATACAGTAAAGTTGCAGGATATAAAATTAACACACAGAAATCTCTTGCATTCCTATACACTAACAATGGGAAAACAGAAAGAGAAATTAAGGAAACAATACCATTCACCATTGCAACAAAAAGAATAAAATACTTAGGAGTATATCTACCTAAAGAAACAAAAGGCCTATACATAGAAAACTATAAAACACTGATGAAAGAAATCAAAGAGGACACAAACAGATGGAGAAATATACCGTGTTCATGGATTGGAAGAATCAATATTGTCAAAATGGCTATACTACCCAAAGCAATCTATAGATTCAATGAAATCCCTATCAAACTACCAATGGTATTTTTCACAGAGCTAGAGCAAATAATTTCACAATTTGTATGGAAATACAAAAAACCTCGAATAGCCAAAGTAATCTTGAGAAAGAAGAATGGAACTGGAGGAATCAACCTGCCTGACTTCAGACTATACTACAAAGCCACAGTCATCAAGACAGTATGGTACTGGCACAAAGACAGAAATATAGATCAATGGAACAGAATAGAAAGCCCAGAGATAAATCCACGAACCTATGGTCACCTTATCTTCGACAAAGGAGGCAAGGATATACAATGGAAAAAAGACAACCTCTTTAACAAGTGGTGCTGGGAAAACTGGTCAACCACCTGTAAAAGAATGAAACTAGAACACTTTCTAACATTATACACAAAAATAAACTCAAAATGGATTAAAGATCTAAATGTAAGGCCAGAAATTATAAAACTCCTAGAGGAGAACATAGGCAAAACACTCTCCAACATAAATCACAGCAGGATCCTCTATGACCCACATCCCAGAATTTTAGAAACAAAAGCAAAAATAAACAAATGGGACCTAATGAAACTTAAAAGCTTTTGCACAACAAAGGAAACTATAAGCAAGGTGAAAAGACAGCCCTCAGATTGGGAGAAAATAATAGCAAACGAAGCAACAGACAAAGGATTAATCTCAAAAATATACAAGCAACTCCTCCAGCTCAACTCCAGAAAAATAAATGACCCAATCAAAAAATGGGCCAAGGAACTAAACAGACATTTCTCCAAGGAAGACATACAGATGGCAAAAAAAACACATGAAAAGATGCTCAACATCACTCATTATCAGAGAAATGCAAGTCAAAACCACAATGAGGTACCATTACACGCCAGTCAGGATGGCTGCTATCCAAAAGTCTACAAGCAATAAATGCTGGAGAGGGTGTGGAGAAAAGGGAACCCTCTTACACTGTTGGTGGGAATGCAAATTAGTACAGCCACTATGGAGAACAGTGTGGAGATTTCTTAAAAAGCTGGAAATAGAACTGCCATATGACCCAGCAATCCCACTTCTGGGCATACACACCAAGGAAACCAGATCTGAAAGAGACACGTGCACCCCAATGTTCATCGCAGCACTGTTTATAATAGCCAGGACATGGAAGCAACCTAGATGCCCATCAGCAGACGAATGGATGAGGAAGCTGTGGTACATATACACCATGGAATATTACTCAGCCATTAAAAAGAATTCATTTGAATCAGTTCTAATGAGATGGATGAAACTGGAGCCCATTATACAAAGCGAAGTAAGCCAGAAAGATAAAGACCATTACAGTATACTAACACATATATATGGAATTTAGAAAGATGGTAACGATAACCCAATATGCAAAACAGAAAAAGAGACTCCGATGTATAGAACAGACTTGTGGACTCTGGGAGAAGGCGAGGGTGGGATGTTTTAAGAGAACAGCATCGAAACATGTATATTATCTAGGGTGAAACAGATCACCAGCCCAGGTTGGGTGCATGAGACAAGTGCTCGGGCCTGGTGCACTGGGAAGACCCAGAGGGATCGGGTGGAGAGGGAGGTGGGAGGGGGGACCGGGATGGGGAATACATGTAAATCCATGGCTAATTCATTTCAGTGTATGACAAAAACCACTGCAATGATGTAAAGTAATTAGCCTCCAACTGATAAAAATAAATGGAAAAAAAAATACTCCAGGAAAAATAAAAGTGAGAGGGACAGGAGATGGAGGTTGCTGAACAAGAGAAAAAGTGTTGGGTCTTATCGGCCCTGGTTGGCTGACTTTGATTATGTCACTGGCTGATCCTCGTGTAATTTCCATGACTACGGAGATGAAAGATATTGATGAGACATGAGATGAGAGATGAAAGCTACCCTTACAAAGGGGAAAATAGATGTTGAATGACTAGAAATTGACTCCAGACCACAAGCCCTACATACTTCTGAATGGAGAATGTGTTAAGGTACTTAACCTCCCCCAAGGGGGTGATAACAATTTAAGTCTCACACCTTTTCACATTTTACCATGTTCCTTCCATGCAGCACCTGCTTGGAGCCTCACACTTCCTCTGAAAGGTAAATACTAGTAACCCAGTTGTCCAGATGAGCAAGCTGACATTCAAGCCAAGAATACATGACAGATCAGCAATGGAAATGAACTTGAACTCCTAAATTCTATATTTTTTCATGAAAGTGCTACTGACTTCTTACAAGATAAGTTTCTAGAAAACCAAATTCAAACCTGCCCCTAAATGGCAAAACCTGGTTCAGGCCTACGTTCTTGGCCCCTGCCTTCCCCTTAGTACACAAACGTATGCACTATGACAGCCAGTTTTATGTTTATGATTCTGAAAACCCTGCATTCCCCATCTGTGAGTCTGGGGGATGACTTGTCCTGACTTAAGGCCCGCTGACAGCATTGTTTCTCGTTGGGTAGATTCACTGCCAGTTTCCAAACCAACCCCACTGGACTCCAGTCCTTTCTTCTGCTCTTGCCTTTACTCACTCAGTGTTTATCGAGTATCTACCTGGGCCCAAAGTCCTCACCATAGCAGTCAAGCTCCCCCACTTCTATTTCCCTGACTCCTCCTCTAACCACTTTCCCTTTGCTCACCCGAGTCCAGCCAACTGGATCTCCAACTGGATTCCTCAGGTGTGCCAGGCACACTCCCACCCCAGGGCCTTTGCAGTCGCTGTTCGATGCCACATGGCTTGTCCCCTCGCTTCCTTCAAGCTGTTGCTTAAATAGCACCTTGTTAGTGAAAACTTCTCTGACCCACCAGAAAAAATATTAAAATCCCCAGGACTTCCTAGCTCCATCTCTGCTCAAAAATTTCCCATAACAATGTTCACAGCAAATGTCTTACTCATATATATGCTTATTGTGCATCTCCCTTCCCATGAGAAGGTGAGCACTTCAAATGCAAGGATTGTTTTGTTCATAGACGAATTTTAAGCATCTGAAACCATTCTTGACACATAGTAGGTTTTCAGTAAATATTTGTTGAAATAATGAATTCTATCAATATACCCATCTAATCATACTCTTTAGGGTTCTCTAGACATAGATGATATCAGCCTCATGTCTTCTGACATCAGAAGATACAGATGAGACTCTCCAGGGGAATCTCCTTGGAGCCCTTCATGCTCTCAAGGTGCTCCTCTCTCATCCCCATCACGGAGGGAAGGTAGGGTGGTACCCA